TTCCCTAGGCGGGTGGGGAAGCGCTGGGCTGGGTTCCCTGGGGAGGGGGTGGAATCTCCATCCCTAGAGGTGCTTAAGTCTCGGCTTGCCAAAGCCCTGGCCGGGGTGACTGAGTTGGGGTTGGTCCTGCTTTGGGCAGCGGCTGGACTCAGTGACTCCTGAGGTCTCTGCCTGCCCTAGGATTCGATGATTCTATGAAGATGCTCCGTGCAGCAAGCTGAGGTTTGTGCCCAGCCCCTGGGTTGCATCGTTAGCCGTTTCCGCTACACACATCTTATACTATTGGATGGAGTTCATAGTCCTTTCCCAGAGCTGGATTTCCACACACGCCCCCCAGTGTCCTGGCTTGTTTCCAGTTCAACAATTACATTCTCCCTCCCTCAGCCCCCCCTGTTGTTTTGAATTGGATACGTCCTTCATTGACTGTTGTGTGATGGTGCTGTGGGCTGTTTCCCACCTGCTGTCCTCCCCCTCCCCCCCCAGAGGTGGCTGCATTTCAGTGCTGGGATCTGGTACCAGGTTCCTCTCTCTCTGTCACTAGGCGTAATTGTACTGCCATTTCCACTCTGCATCTGTGTTTCAGCCTCCCCTCTGATCTGTCTCTCTCTGGTCATAGACGAGTTTATATTATTGTTAAGTTTTTAAGCCCTCTGGCCACAGCGAGAGAGTCTGCCTTGGGCTAATCGCTCGGATCCTTCATCCTGTTGATGCAGGGCGAGTCACTGCCTGTAGTTGTCTTTTCCTGCAGCATTTGTCTGTCTTGATGCAAGGGCGAAGGTGGATTTCCTGCTCCCTGCCTGGACACTCCCATTGCAGGCTCCGGGAACAGGAAGCTAGCTCATAGCCACCTCCATCCCTCCCTCCACTCCTCTGTGTCCTCTAATTTGTGGCCTTTCTCCAGCCAGCTCACAGTTCTCCTCCCACTGCAGCCCCATCTCTCATGGTCAAGACTCTTAAATACCACAATTGTATTGTGCCTGGCTTCTCATTTCCATTACCTGAGCAAGCAACTTGCCACACTCTCATGGTCAAGACTCTTAAATACCAGAATTGTATTGTGCCTGGCTTCTCGTTTCCATGACCTGAGCAAGCAACTTGCCACTCGTAGACCTGTCTTGCCCGGCACGTTGTCCCATGAATCCCCTGTCTACAGCCCCTGTAATGACCCTGTCTGGGGCTGAACTCCGCCTGTAGACTCTCCTGAAGGGTCAGTGCACATCCCATCACAGCCTCTCGTCATGCACAAACTAGAGCAGCAAGTCTACCAGCGAATGGCTGTTTGTATTCGTCCATGCAGACTGTCGGGATGGAAGGAGCTGCCTGGGTATTCTTCTGTGGGAAAGGAGTCGGTTATTCACTTACAGGCCTGGCCTTCTAAAATCCCTCCTCTCCTTTGCTAGGAAGCACAGCAAATTCGCGCCGTTCCCGGGAACATACAGCATGCAGATGCGTGTGCTCTGTGAGCAGCGGCGCAATTCATGGGCAGCGAGGCGCATGCTTGGCGAGCTCGCTGAAAGGCGTGACGTGTTGTCTTTTCTGTGTGCTAGGAGCACAGAGGCCTGCTCTCGATCCGCTATCCCATGGAGCATGGCATAGTGAAGGACTGGAACGACATGGAGCGCATCTGGCAGTACGTGTATTCGAAGGACCAGCTGCAGACGTTCTCCGAAGAGGTGAGACGCCGCGCGGGCGCAGTGCTTGGTTGGGCGTGTGTAAGCTCTGGGGCGGATCTGGCCTCTTTGCTGTGCGTTCCCCCAAGAACCTCTAAACAAGCCTGGTCGCTAATCAGGAGTTACTGCTGTGCATTAGATCACAGCCCCGGCATGCCCAAGCAGAATGCCTTGCGGCTAATCTGATACTAGAGCTTCACTGATGCTGCAGCATTCAACACCTCCCCCCACCCACACACACGTTCCCCTTACTGCAGCATCCCATTATTTCGGCACTACAGCTGTTCCTGTTCTGCCTTATCCGCTCGCCAAATGTTAACGAATGCGATTGCTCAAAAGGAAGCAGGAGTAAATCTTGGGCCCTCAGTCGAGAGAGGGGAAAAAATAGTTTGCCGTCTGCAAGCTGGCCCTAGAAGTGGCTTAGTAGCTGAACTGACTAGGGGCTGTGTCTTTAAGGCAGCTCTGTTGGAAACTTAACAATGTGACTTCTGAGCGGGCAGATGGAGAAGGATCCATTGGGTCACCTTGTCCATCCTCAGCACAGGGTCTGTTCCCCAGCACTCTGGAATCTAGCTTGAAATGGCCACGTTATGATATTTTGCCAACCCTGCCAGTGGGAGATTGACACAGCCTCGGGGATCTCACTGCTTGGCAGCGTTCCCTCGTTCCTTAACTTCATCCCATCTTGCTGCTTAGATCCCGGCGGTTCCTAAATCGTACGAATAAACCGTTATTCTAGAACTCTTCTCCCATTCCACCCCCGCCCCCGGTCCATATGGACACTCGCCGCCTGCGGGGGGAGCATTCCCAGCCGCAGTGGTTCACAGCCACACTACTTTTGTCTCTGTTAACCCAGCATCCCGTGCTCCTGACGGAGGCTCCCCTGAACCCACGCAAGAACCGAGAGCGAGCTGCTGAAGTTTTCTTTGAGACCTTCAACGTGCCGGCGCTTTTTATCTCCATGCAAGCAGTGCTCAGCCTGTAAGTATCTTCCCGTTCTCGGCACGGCCTGAGCAGAAGGGCAGAAACAGCGCGAGAGCGCGGTTGTCCTTGAAAACCAGCCGTTCCTTTGGGGGAGGGCTCTTTCAATGGAGACGGATCCGCCCATCCCGGTCCCACACCGGCATTGGTCCAGCTCTGATCTTTGCAGCTTTGTCCCACTTCCAGTTCTGACCTTAGCCTCCCGGGGCTAGACTGGTGGGGGAAAAGGCTAGTGTATGCAAAGTGCAATATCTTGCCCCGTGGCCTTGCATTGCAGCTATATTGTGCCTGCTGTGGAGAGCTTCCTACCAGAAAGCCTCTCCAGGCAATCTGAGGCGCCGGAGCCTGCATGACAATTCCTGCCCCTCCAGCTGTGCTGCAGTTGACATTTTGGGAGGTCATCTTTTACCTCTAATAGTGTCCTTCATTCAGGCCATTTCATTTCTAATTGGATTCATGTGTCTATACAGTGTTATTGATTATACCAGTTTATTTTGATTCATATTAATTTTGTAAAATCTTATTTCAAAACAACCACCCGAGCCCTGCAGTGGGGCCAAAATTAGAGTTCCTCACAATTGAAAGAACGTGTGACTCAAAGGTAGAGCTGCCCCTTTCCTAAGTAAGCCGAATGATTCTGCTGTTACCGGTTTCTCTCGGGTTGCTTTGTTGTTTGGCGTCGGTTGGGCCAGGTCCAAGCCTGGGAGACGCTTGTGAAATTCGCTGCCTGTCGTTCTCACCATCGTCCCTCCTTGTTGCAGTTACGCGACAGGCAGAACCACGGGAGTGGTGCTGGACTCGGGGGATGGCGTCACCCATGCGGTTCCTATCTACGAAGGCTTTGCCATGCCTCACTCCATTATGCGGATTGACATCGCTGGTCGCGACGTATCCCGCTTCCTTCGCCTCTATCTCCGGAAAGAAGGCTACGACTTCCACACCTCATCGGAGTTCGAGATCGTCAAAACCATCAAAGAGGTGATTTTGGCACGAGGCGATCTCTGAATCGGCACAGAGTCTCTGAAATGGGGCCCAGACCCTCAGTGCCCGGCTCTTGACAGCGGGGCCCCTAAAAACTGAACAGGCCGTTGAGCCTGCTTTGCCCTGCCCTCTGATTCCGACAGAAGATCTCTCCCTGCTTGGGAGAGGCTTGTGTTCTGGTGTCGGGGCAGATAAATGCAGCACTCCAGGGCTGGCAGGGTGGCACCTTCCCTTAGCACTAACGTAAGCGGAGGGAAAGAAGACTAGTTAAGCGCGTGCATCAGCATGAGGCGCGAGAGGTTCCGCTGTTCGGTGAGAACCTTTAAACTGCAGGGCCCAGGCTGGAGACACCTTTCCTAGGAACCCCAGCCACACCGTGCTGTGCTCCATGGCAGCAAATGCTTTTCCCAGACGTCCCAGGGAAGTAAACAAACCAGAGCCACTGTCCTGGTAGAAAGCCTGAGAGTGCGGCTGATCTGTGCCAAAGGAGAGACAGAACTGAGGGCGAAAGTGACTATTGTAACTAAAGCCCGGCCAGTTCTTAGCAGTAGCTTGGTGTGTCTCTCGCCGGCTGTTTTACCCACTCAGGACCCCTGCTGGTTGATTTTCCTCCCTGCTGGTGGAGGCTTCGCCTAGGTGCTGTGGTGCGGAGCCTAGAAACGTTCACAAATATATACAGGCCTTCAGACCGCAGCATCCGCACCACGTGATCGCTGTCCAGCGCCCCCCAGTGTCTGACAGAGACTGCTGTGTAGTGCCATCCGCACCACGTGATCGCTGTCCAGCGCCCCCCAGTGTCTGACAGAGACTGCTGTGTAGTGCCATCCGCACCACGTGATCGCTGTCCAGCGCCCCCCAGTGTCTGACAGAGACTGCTGTGTAGTGCCATCCGCACCACGTGATCGCTGTCCAGCGCCCCCCAGTGTCTGACAGAGACTGCCATACTGCATAATCCCGTCCCATCAGTGCTGCCTGTACAGTCACTCTGAGACAGATGTGTGAGCCTGGTCTGCTCTCAGTGAGTCTTTTCATAGTCTGTGATCTGCCAGCAAGAGAGCCAGAGAAGACAGAAAATGGCTCTGTGGCTTGGCAGTCCAGTTCAGGGGTAGCCGCTTAGCATGCGCTGTGAGACTTGGGCAGGCTGCACGGAGCTCCGGAGTGGTGAGGCTTGCCCGTGGTGGCTCTGTTCTCGGTGGCGGCAGTATTGCTGCTGTTCCAAGGGAGCAGGAGCTGGCTAGAGAAAGAGAAGCGTCTCCATGTCTCGCTCTGCAAAAGTGACTAGAGAACAGCTCTTCACTGCCGTGCCTTGCAACATGCCAGGCTGAATTCTTCCACCCGGCTTGTGGATTGCTCCTTAGAAGCGCTCGTCCGAAAGGCCAGGGTCTGTGGTGCGCTTCGCCTCTTAGCAAATGAGCCAAACCACGTGTGCTGGAATCTCTGCTCACAGAGAGGGGGATTTTTCGGAACCCTACCCCGATGAAAGCAGAACTCGAACAAAACTGGAGATGAGCCCAGATGTGTGTGCTGAACCTCTGCACCACCGAGGCTGGGAGAGTGCAGAGTTAGCACGTACAAGAGCTTTCTCTGAGCTTTCCCGCCCCACGCTGCCTCCCCCGGTACTTCCTGGCTCACAGAAGAGTTGACAGAATTCCTCAGCCTGCTACAAATAGCAAGGGCTGCAGTGAGATTCTGCTATTTGCGGTCCCCAACGCAGCAGGCAGTGCTGCCGGCTCACGACTTCACGACCAGCCTCGTCGTTTGATTTAATGACCGAGGTTGTGGAGGCGAGAGAGAAGCAGGAGAATCTCTGCTTTCATCGAAGAAAAAAAGGAACTTTCTTCCCTGCCTGGTTGTGGAGAGCAGCTTGGACATGTGCCCAGAGCATGACCCACCGACTTAAAATCTGGAGGAAAAACAACAATTATTGCCCAGGGAGGTTGTGGAATCCCCATCTGTGGAGATATTTAAGAGTAGGTTAGATACATGTCTATCAGGGATGGTCTAGACAGTATTTGGTCCTGTCGTGAGGGCAGGGGACTGGACTCGATGACTCTCGAGGTCCCTTCCAGTCCTAGTATTCTATGATTCTATAACCCTCTGCCCCCCAAATTTGACATTTTTGTGCTGTCCCAAGCGGGGACCAATAGCAAAGCTTCTTGCAAAACAAAAAGTTCCCAGAATTTCCAGCGGGAAGCGTCAGACTGTTGCGCTTCCCGTGAAGTGCCGTAGTGGTTACATTGCCAGGTCAGGTGCATCCTGGGAGCTGCAGTCCAGCCGGGGAAGCAGGGACCAGCGTGGCTCAGGGCAGACTAACAGCTCAGCTCTGAATGATCCGAAATATTTGTCCTGCCAGAAGATTCTTGCTGAAAATTGCTCTCCCCAAAGAAAAGTGGTTTGTTAGAAGCCCTGCTCACCTGCCTTTGTTCTCTTTGCAGCGTGCCTGTTACCTGTCCATAAACCCGCAGAAGGACGAGACGCTGGAGACGGAGAGAGCCCAGTACTACCTGCCAGATGGAAGCACTATTGAGGTGCGTAAGGACAAATACTGAATTATTCTTCCTAAAAAGCTCGGTGTTAGTAGCACGTCCTGGCCCTCTCGCTGCGGGAGGCTGGGGGGGCTCGGGAGAAGCTCGTTAAAATAGAGCTGCAGCGGGCACAGGGTTTCTCTTGCAGAAGGCTAGAAGATTCCTTCTCTGTTTCTTCCTGAAGACCTGCCGGGCTTGAGTCCATTGCCAAATGGTTTCTGGTGAACAGCTTCCTCCTAAGAATGGCTGCACGCCCATAGCTCGTTGGAATCCCCGGGATTGGGAGGTTCCTGGCTAATGACATGCGACTTGCTGTTAAGTCAGCGACCCGGAGACCTCGTGCAGGGATCTGCACTGACAGGTTCTGGTGCAGACTCAGGGACGGGACAAGTGGGTCTCAGCTAATTGCTGAGCCTATTGGGTTTATCTCCTCTGCAACGCAGAAACAATCCCTTGGAAGAACGGCCTAGAGAAACCTAAAGGGGAAACTTTCTGGATGAGGGCTGAAGGGGAGGGAGCATGGGGTTGTCCTAAGGCACCAGACTTGAAATTGGGAGAGAGGGAGTCTGCTCCAAGCTCTGCTGCTCATTTTCTATGGGGCTGCGGCAAGTTGCAGCCTCAGTTTCCCCATCTACTAGAGGGCGGGAATAATGTACTTTAGTGGCATTTTGAGGCTTGCTTCATGTTCATGAGATCTTTTGAAATCTGCAGCTGTGAAGGTACGAGGGTTACTGTGTGTTAAAGGGAGCAACCCGTCGGCCTTGTGTTCCTTGTCGGGATGTTAATGATGTCCCAGGAGTGGCTGCTGGGTTGGAGGGACTCTCTAACTCTCTGGTTTTCGGCCACTGAAGGGTTCCATGGCGCAGCCGCAAGACATGTGGCCCGTGGTGCCCTCTGGGCGCTAAGCTGTTCCCTCCTGCTGTTTGCAGATCGGCCCTGCCCGCTTCCGAGCCCCCGAGTTGCTGTTCCGGCCTGACCTCATTGGAGAGGAGTGCGAGGGGCTGCACGAGGTGCTGGTCTTCGCTGTTCAGAAATCTGACATGGACCTGAGGCGAACGCTCTTCTCCAACATCGTGCTGTCCGGGGGCTCCAGGCTCTTCAAAGGTCTCTGCCTTCAGAGTGGGCACGGTGCCCTCCGTCCTTCAGTAAGCAGTGAACCTCCTGCTAAGTCCAACACCGGTACCAGCAAATCTACCCTCCCCCACGCCGACCTCCTCTCGATAATCCCTCCCCTGCTTGGAATTGCCCTAAGCCTCTGGATACGGAAGTGGAGACTTCTTAAAGGCATCCGGCTCCCGCTTGTGCTGTTGACACTCTCTCTCCTCCCCTCCCCTCCCACTGTCCTTGTCCTCCCTCCCTTTCCCCTCCCTGGCCCCAGCGGATCATCTGGCCTGACAAAGGACTGAGCAGTGTTTTAGGGCAGCTTCGTTATTAAATCCCTGGAAGGCTGATAGAAGTTCCTTTCGAACTCTGCTCCGGTGCCAGGCCTGTTGAAATCCCTGCCCCGGCGTGAGCGGAGCATGTGCCGTGAGTGCACTGTGTCCATGCCTGGCTGTCCCTGCCCGCCTCAGTATGGAGGTGGCAAGAGGAGCATGTGGAGGGAGAGGTTGTCCTCAGAGCCAAGGTGTGTGTCCCACCCTGAGCCAGCCAGCTCCTAGCTATAGCAGAATTCCAGACTCCTCCCTCTTCCCAGCATGCTTTGCAATGAAACGATTGACAGCCAGGCTTGCCTTTCCCCCACTTTGCTCTCAGAGGGACTCGGGCTCATGGGGCTTGTTCCTTCCCCTTTGTGGCAGGGGTGCTCCGCGCCGTGGCCCGAGTCCAGTCCTGAGGTAGGAGGAGGGCATTCTCCCGGATCTGCTTCCTGGCCTCCCTGCGGCCGGGAGCGGAGCACGTCCACCAGGTAGCCCTGGAGGAACAAGAATTGAGGGGAGACTCAGGAGGCCAAGCCTACCTCGTCCTTCTGAGACCTCCTCTGCCCCAGGGGCAGGCTGTCTTCTCGTTTGCCCGGATCAGACCATTCCCGGAGCCTGGCCAGGAGGCACTAGGGACCAGGCGCGAGCACGGCCCAGTGTGCATGGGGCTGTACAAATACAGCCTGGGACAGCTCTGTAAATCACACAGACTCTGCTCTCTCACCATCTTTCCGGTTGTGCTCTGGAGGCTGCCCGAGCCTGCTGAGGACTCTGGGGAGGCCCTTTCCAGGCCTGGGCTCTGGTGAGGCAGGAATGTCCCCCCCAAACGGTCTGTGCGGAGTGTCGCTGTAGCTGCAGTCATTGGTCGGGAGCCATGGTCCGCGCCCAGGTAAAGGCAAGTTTCCTCTTCTCTGCAGGCTTCGGAGACAGGCTCTTGAGCGAAGTGAAGAAGCTGGCACCCAAGGACGTCAAAATAAGGGTAGGGGTGCTCTCCTCTGGAGGCTTCCTGGGGCAGGAGCCTGGAGCCGCTTGGCAGGGTGCTGCCCTGCACTTGCAGCCAACTCCGGCTGTTCGGGAATGGCCCGGGCGCCTGTGCTGAAAGCCACTCGGGGTCTGTGGCCAGGGTTGTCGCTCGCCAGTGCAGCTGGGTGGCAGAAGCCGCCCCAGGGCCTGTGTCTGACGGGTGGGACGCAGCTGCGGAGAGGCTGGGTACCTGGCCAACACTGACCCACGTTCCCGGCCTCTCCTTTCAGATATCCGCTCCGCAGGAGAGACTCTACTCCACGTGGATCGGGTACGTATCGGGCAGCTCCGACTGGGCCCTGCCCGCATTACAGCGGGAGTCCTGGCAGCCTTGCCCACGCTGGCGAGGAAACACTGCTAGCCATGCTGCCCTGTTGCTGTCCCCATGGGGCTCCCTCGCCCCCCTCCACCCGTTCTCTGCCAGTCTGGCAACAGGCCACTGCAGGGCAGCGTTCGGGCCTGCACCCCCATCCCAGTTACTCCAGTGACGGAACTGTTGATGTAACCAGTAGGGGAAAGGGGAAGGACTGGAGGCTCCTAACTGACTGTGCCCATTTAAGGTGCTGTGGAAACAAGAAAACCCACTTTGCTGGCAGCCGGAGCAGTTCCGGCTCCGCCCAGGCTGGGAGCTCAGCAGCAGCAGCCTGGGTCTGACGTGAAGGGGGGTCGGTTGTAAGCTCCTTGGGGTAGGAACTCTTGCACAGGGCGAACACAGCGGTGGCCTGGAGGTGCTGCTACAGGGGAGCTGTGGGGGAGGGAATAGGACCCGTGCTAGGAGCCGCTGCCTCGTCCCACTCTAACACGCTTGCTTGTTCCCTCCCCCAGTGGCTCTATTCTGGCCTCATTGGACACCTTTAAGAAAATGTGGGTTTCAAAGAAGGAATATGAAGAAGACGGAGCCCGGGCCATCCACCGAAAAACCTTCTAGCCCTGGGCCCGTCCGGGGGAGACTCACTCCAGTTCTAAACTCGCTTTTCTGAGTCCGAGTGTCTGTGAGGAGCTGCGTGTGTGTGTGCGTGCGTGCAAGCGGGCCCCCGAAACGGCAGGAAGCAGAGAGGAGGGGGGAGAGTAGATTTTTTTTTTTATTTTTTTTTTTTAACTGTAGGAGGAAAAATAATCAGGCCCCATTTCTCCAGCGTGACCCCTTTTACTTTCACTCCTCCGGTGGCTGCAGCGGTCGCTATGGAGGGGGAGTGGCCTAGAAACTGAACAGCCAGGCCGCCGGGCTGTGACCGTCGCAAGTCAGTTAGGTGTAGTAGTGTAGCCTGAGGCTCCAACCCCTGGAATGCCCTTACTTGAGGGCGCCCCGTGGCACCGGTTGCCCAGCAGCGAGCGCGTCTCTGGCCAGTTTGTCCTTTCTTTTTTTTCCGTTGTTTTTGATATATTTTTATACGGGAGAAGCACAGTGGGGCAGCCCTCTCCCCCATTTGTTTGGAGTTTGTTAGTATGTGCATGAACTCCTTGGCCTGCTGTGGGTCTGGACCATGCCTGCACAACTCTGCTAGGACTGAGTTTGTTTTGCATGGTGCTGGTCACAACCCCCCTCCTCCGCTCTGACTGTCCTAGATGGTTATGATCTGTCTTTTGGAGGCTGACCTTCGTTCTCCTTGGGAAGCGAGTGCCCCAGGTGGGTACAAAGGCGCTAGCGTGTTTGCTCGGAAAGGTTTACAGCGCGGTGTTCTCTCCGTCAGAGGAAGCTGTTTCTCCCCCCTTTCTCTTACAGCAGGGTGTCGGAACCGTCCATTTTCAGCCAGACAAAATCTCTTTCCTTTGATCCGTCCTTGGGCAAAAGCAGACGGGAAAAGGCCATTGTGACTTGCGGGTTATTTTATTTATTGCAATGTTTAAGGAATATGTAAGTTACTAACACAGCTGCTGTTTTGGGGCAGTGGCTGCCCCGGTGGGTCTCCTAAAACCCTCGGACTGAATTTCCCACTGTCTGATGCTAACACTAATGTTTACAGCACATGCTTAGCAGAGTAGCCAGCCAGCCCCGCTCCACTCCTTGGTGACCGTCAGTCGGAGCGTTCTCTATGAATGCTCTAAACGAGAGGACAATAAACAGTGTTCGTACGTTGGCATTATCCACGGCTCCTGAGCGCTAGTTCTTCATCCACGGGAGCGTTACGCCCGGCTAAGCCTGCCTGATCTCTGTAGGATGCTGCTGCAGAAGGGGTCAGGCCTGTGCCTACCTGCTTTGGGGCGAGGGTTTGAGTTCGGGAGCTCACCTGGTGCTTTTTACTGGTCAGTGTTTTGTTTTTAAAATGAGGTTGCTGCTGAGAACCAAATATGTGGCCTGGTTTAGCCACGTCAGTATTAGCAGAGAGCTCTGCGGAGTTGTGTAGAGACCTTAGCCTACACAGCGAGCCAGGCTGGGTGTCTGACAAGAGCAAGCTGGGCCGAGGAGGAGAGGAAGGTACTTTAAGTAGGAAAGAAGCATGAGGAGAGCCAGAGCTTTTCCTGCCTCCTCGTGGATTTCACCTGTGGGGGAAGGGACAGAATTTGGAGCAGTCCACAACTTTTTAAAGCAGCGTCTGTTGTTTTATGTAACGCATGACTGGTCAGACTCAGTCCCTAGACTGTGCAGTTAGCCTTAATTCTAGTAGAAAAGCCAGCTGTTTCCATCAGCTGAGTGCCTGTCATTGAAGGGGAAAAGGGGGTAACGCTGCTCCTTCGGAAGGCGGACGGCTTGTGGGTTTTATTTTTAAAAGAACAGGCCTGTGGTCAATCCCTGCTTGGGTCTTGAAAAGGAAGCTCATAGCTCCTGGGATTCCCACAAGTGCTACTGCATCATTGGTATCACGAGCCACCCTGGCCCTGTACTGCATCGCACCTGCAGCTGGGGCCTGGGAGTGCCCGGCTGGAGAAGTGTCTGGTCAGCCTAGCTCTGCAATGGAGTGATGCTGTGTGCTTGGAGGGACAGAATTTTCTTTTTAGCCTGCCTAGGAATGAATTCCAGTGGGCGACTGCTTTTGGCTCCACCCTGGTGCTTTCAGCAGGGCACGAGGTCTGTTTACACCAGCACGACAGAGTAGAAAGCAGATTGTCCTCCTCCGTCCCCCCAGAAACATCGAGTGAGGTTGGCTGTGCCACGAGATTGTCCTCCTCCGTCCCCCCAGAAACATCAAGGAGTGAGGTTGGCTGTGCCACACAATTGAAAGCTGCTGCAGTCTCCCCAGATCGTATCTGGGAATTTAAATCTTAAAATCCAGTCGGCACCTGTCACCTGCCGAGAACAGCTTTGAGCCCTGTTTAAGAACGATGAAAGGGGAAGGGTGCACAACATGATGGTTGCATGGCTGTGGGCTCCTCTGGTGCTGATTTCATCTGATCTACTGCACCGCCTTTGTAAAATGCACACAGGCCCCCTCTGCCTAAGCCAGACCGTACTGCAGCTCAGGGCTTGAATGAAGCAAGAGCAGTAGCCTCCTCTGAGCAGACAGTCCTTGCTGGTGTAAACCGATGAAGCCCTAACAAGCTAAGGGAGAACCTAACTCTGCTCCACTAATGCCAGTTTGGCTCTGCCTGGCCAGGGGTGACATGCTCAGACCCCTGGTGTTAGCCTTTGGGGACATGAGTTGCAGGTGGAGTTCAGAGAATTTGCCATGGCAGGTCTCTCGGGCCAGGTGATTTAGGAGCAGCGGGTGGCCAGGGAGTTGTAGACTCCAAAATGTAGTTTGTTATAAAAGCACCAATGCCTAAAGCAGCCAGCAAGGACACAGTTTTGCAATGTGGGCATGTGCTCTGTCCAGCTGATGAAACCCTGCCCCCTCCCCCCAAGGAAAAGTGGCCTGTGTCACAAGTGTAGCACAGGGGTGAGGTTGAGCCATCCAGGCACAGCTTGGGATGGCAGTTGCTCAGATATTCCCTTTCAGGGTGGCTTGTACAGCTGGGATACAGAAGCCTACATGCAGCAGCAGGCTGGGAATTGATTCATTCACTTATGAGCTGTAATTCTCCCTTTGCAGCCCGAGAGACATGGCCTGCCACGAGGCTGTTGGTACTGAAGGTCTAGGCGCTCTCGCCCGTTGACTGAACAGCCTCAGTTAAATGGGTGCTTTGGAATAGGCCAAGGAGCTATAGGGTGGACTTCCCTCAGCATGAGCCTCAGGACTTGCCATGGGCCTGGCCCAGAGCCCCAAGGCAGAAATAGGCCTCTAATCCCCCAGGTCTTGGCTGCTGGTGTTTATTACAGCAGCAGGGGTAGGCAGGCAGAGCATTTAGACACCCCGTGTTAATTTGCAGGTGGCGAATTCTACTTGGCCGCCAGCCATTTAGTGACATGACTTGCAGCATGTTCACTTACTAAAGAGGAAGCAGGTTCAGACAGGCAGGCTGCACACCCCCGACCTAGAACTCGCCCAGGAAACTGCAGAGCACTAGAAGGGGCCTCTGGCTGCAGCAAAAGCTGCCGCATTTGGTTGTAGAAAGTCACGTGTCTACTTGGTGCGAGGGCAGGTTGGGGCCATCCACGCAGTGCAGTTATCTTCTGCATCATAGGCAGCTCCCCCCCATGCAAGGGGGGGGGCTAGCACGCGCAGCACGTGTTAGGCACCCGGAGCACTCCTCACGCCATAGCCTGTATTAAAGGCATCACAAAGGCTCTCCCACCGATCTCCAGTGAGAAACGGGGCTGCTGGTTCGCTTCCAACTCCTCCCAACCCTGCTAAGGTTTAAGCAAAAGAACCTGTCAGGGCCCATTGCTGAGGAAGGGAGGGTAACACGAAACACCTGCTGCTTTGGAAAACAAAGTGTATTCTCCATGGCATCAGCACAGAACAGGTGCTGCAGGGTAGGAAGGGAATGACTGTGTTGAGCAGCGTAGGCCAGCTCCCTTTGCTGCCTCCTCTGCCTTCGAGCTAGCAGGAGCAGAGTTCTGTTTGCAAGCCCGTGACCAGGCAAGCGTGCCGTCTGCAATCTCGCATTTGTTCCAGCCGTGTGACACTGCTCCTCACGCCTCTTCCCCCCTCCCTCATGTTGCCTGCTGGTGCCCAACATACCTAAATAAAGCTGGTCATATACAAGCTTGCATCTCTCTGTCTGGAGGGGGGCTGGAGGGGCTCTTGCCACAGTTTTTTCAGGTACAGTTTCTTCCCCTGGAAGCTCATGGTCATCTGTTGGTGGTGTGTGCTGCATGCTCACATTCCACAGCATTCAAAGGGAGTAGCAGAAAGGGACCTGGCACATTGAGTGGGAGGAGAGAAACTGACATTTAAAACAAAATCTATCAACACTCTGGCATGATTTTCCGGAAATGCTTTTAACGAAAAAGTTTTCCGTTAAAAGCATTTTCGGAACAGAGCGTCTAGATTGGCACGGACACTTTTCTGCAAAATCACTTTTTGCGGAAAAGCATCCATGCCAATCTAGATGCGGTTTTGCGCAAGAAAGCCCCGACCGCCATTTTCGCCATCGGGGCTTTTTTTGTGGAAAACAAATCTGAGCTGTCTACACTGGCCCTTTTGCGCAAAAGTTTTGCACAAAAGGGACTTTTGCCCAAACAGGAGCAGCATAGTATTTCCACAAGAAGCACTGATTTCTTACAGTAGGAAGTCAGTGCTTTTACAGAAATTCAAGTGGCCAGTGTAGACAGCTGGCAAGTTTTTCCGGAAAAGCAGCTGATTTTCCAGAAAAACTGGCCAGTCTAGACACAGCCTCTGTCTTTGTTCCAGGCAGCTACGTCATTTATTGTAGACAGCACAGTAGAAATGAGGCACATATGAGGAATCCAAATCCAGAGAAGGTTAGAGCCTTCTGGGACAGTTCACACAGGCTACTCCACAGGACCAGGCTGAAAGGAAGGGATCAGATGCCTGTCAGAACAATCATTCATTGCTCCTGCCACCAAAGCCTTGAGCTGCTAGAGCTGTTCAGGTGTCTGCACTGCAAATTCAGACTTTGTTTCACAGCGTGGTAGTTTTCAGGGATTATCAAACAACATAACAAGCTTCTGGAAAGATAAGACCTAAGAAAGGCAAAGTTCCAGTAACCACAGCTGAAAGACAGTCCTGAACAAGTGCAAGACAGGGTTTGAGTGGACCTAATGCTTCTGAGGGTACTGAGGGAGTTGGCGAATGTCATTGCAGAGCTTTTGGCAACTCGTGGAGAGCACGAGAGATCCCGGACAACTGGAAAAAGGCAAATGTTATGTCCACCTTTAAAAAAGGGAAGGACAATCCAGGGAAGCACAGACAGTCAGTCTTACCTCAGTTCCTGGAAAAGTCATGGAGGGAATCCTCAAGGAATCCATTCTGAAGCAATTGGAAGAGGGGAAAGTTATCAGGAACAGTCAACATGGATTAACCAAGGGGAAGTCCTGCCTGACCAATCTGATTAGCTTCTGTGAAGAGGTAACTGGCTCTGTGGACATGGCAAAGCTTTTGATACGGTCTCCCACAATATCCTTGCCAGCAAGGTAAGGAAGTGTGGATTGGATAAATGGACTCTAACACGGATAGAAAGCTGACTAGATTGTCAGGTCCAACAGGTAGCGATTAATGGCTTGATGTCAGGTTGGTGGTCGGTTTCAAGCGTAGTGTTCCAAGGATCAGTTCTAGGGCCAGTTTTGTTTAGGGCTGGTTTTGTTCAGCATCTTAATTATTTTGATGGGTTGCACCCTCAGCAAGTTTGCAAATGACACTAAGCTAGGGGGAGTGGTAGATACGGTGGAGGGCAGGGATAGGGTCCAGAGTGACCTAGACAAATTGAAGGTTTGGGCCAAAAGAAGAGTGATAAGGTTTGACACAGGCAGCGTCCTGCACTTGGGATGGAAGAATCCCAGGCATTGTTACAGGCCGGGGACCGACTGGCTAAGCAGCAGAAAAGGACCTGGGGGTTATAGTGGATGAGAAGCTGGAGATGAGTCAACAGTGTGCCCTTGTAGCCAAGAAAGCTAATGGCATATTGGGCTGCATTAGGAACATTTTCAGCAGATTTAGAGAAGTGATTATTCCCCTTTATTCAGTACGAGTGAGGCCACAGCTGGAGTAGTGTGTCCAGTTCTGGGCCCCTCACTGTAGGAAGGATGTGGACACACTGGAGAGGGTCCAATGGCAGTCAGCCAAAATGATGAGGGGGCTGGAGCGCATGACCTACAAGCAGAGGCTGAGGGATTTGGGCTTGTTTAGTCTGCAGAAGAGAAGAGGGAGGGGGGATTTGAGAGCAGCCTTCAACTGCCTGAAGGGAGGTTCCAGAGGGGCTGTTCACAGGAGTGACGGATGGCAGAACAAGGAGCAGTGGCCTTAAGTTACAGTGGGGGAGGTCTAGACCCTAGGACAGTGGTGAAGCCCTGGGATGAGATCCCCAGGCAGGGGGTGGAATCTCCATCCCTAGAGGTTTTTAAGTCCCAACTTGACAAAGCCCTGGCTGGGGTGACTGAGTTGGGGTTGGTTCTGCCTTGGGCAGGGAGCTAGACAGTGACCTCCAGAGGGCTCTTCCAGCCTAGGATACTATAAACAGGACTGTTTCTGCCCCTGTTACGTGGAGCAGGGGTCTGAAGGCAAATGGCTCTGGAGAAGAACACACAAGCCCGGCCAGACCTTACTTCAGAGACTCCCAGCATAACTCCCCCGACCCTTGCTTTGCATTTCCAGTTCCTGTTCTCTCTGAAGCAGCAATGGGGGAAGAGAGGGGGGAGAAACATGCCCTGAAAACACCAGCCCTGCATTGAATTTGTTTCAGGGAGGAAGCTGAGTTGGAAGTGGGAATAAATATTTAGATGTGATCAAGGGCTCCTCTGTCACCTGGGGATACTGTTCTCCCAGCTGCTCATGCCCTGGCAATTAGAAACAGCCACTGCTCTGGTACAGCCATTCAACAGGGCACAAATTCCCCCTTCCCCACCCTGCTGCATCCTTTTGTCACACAAGGTGGCTTGGAGAGGAAGGGAAAGACATTCCTCTCTGCCTAGCACACAGAGGCAAGCGGCTGCTCAGCAGTGGAAGGTGGCTGGAACTTGCTCAGTGCCAACTGAAGAACCGTGTCTGAGCTTTTTTTTTTTGAAAGAACAAACCACTGGGGAGCCAAAGGAAGTCCAGCAGGAAGGGGAAGGGGTAAAATATCTGGGTGGGTGCTAGTCTTTACCCCGCCCCTCACAGCGAGAGTACGAGGCTCTCGGGGCAGAAGTGCACGTGCTCAAGCAATGCATTTGGTTCCTTTCCACCCAGAGGCAAGAACTGGTCCCAGCCCTGCAGAATGGCCTCCAGCACACAGAGCACAGAAGCCAGCAGGAGAGCTGGCAGCAGCAGAACCACGCTGGAAAGGGAAGCACTGGCTGCTTCTTAGTGAAGACAAATCAGAGCAGATGAGCCACATTGACACTGAGGGGCAGAGGGCAACTGAAGCATCTGTCAGCAGAACTTTACTTCAGACTATTTGTGGGAAGGAGGATCGTGCACGGCTGGGGCTGAGCACATGCTCACACTCAGGGCCAGCAGAAGCATGTAAAATGGGAGCCTGACATCACATTCACACCACTGAATTGCCTCCCCTCCCCCAGTGCTTCCCCATAAAGCTGACAGCTGTGGCAAAGAAAGCAAGAGCAGGCCGACTAGATCCGACCCCAGGTCCATCTAGCTCAGTTTGTCTGACAGAGGCCAGAAACAAACACTCCAGAGGCAGGTATAATACCCCGCAGTAGCAGATGTAGAACATTTGCTCTTCGTATTAAGGCCCAGCTGGATCTAACAGCAATCAGCATAAATCCGGCAGCATGAAAACAAAGCAACTTGTTCATTTGCCCTGATGGGGTGTGGTACGAAATTAAAGTTCCCAGAATTCACTCCTGCCAGCAGGGCTTCCCCAGGATTTGGGTATGGACCATCCGGGCAGAAAGTGACTCAGACCACACACCACTGACTATGACTTATTGATCCTCCAGCAGTGCACACAAGCCCCTCCCTGCTCAGCACACGCTTCCCACTACCCACTTCCTCCAACTCCTGAGTTACTACAGGGAATACAAACAATGCACCACCTCAAGTCTCCCTGGGGAGCTGTGGCAGGAGGAGCAGGCCAATCACAGGCAGCTCATTATTGCTTCTTTGACCATTCCCTCACTATCTGACAGCAAGTAGCTCAAGCAATGCCCCAAATCATCAACACTGGCACCTGGAAATGCGCACACAGGCCCAAAGCCAGACGGTTCCCTTCCTTCACACAACAGGAAGTGCTAATCAACAATGCATGAACTCCAGATAGGGAAACTCAGGAGCAGGAAAGCCTGGATTCCCCACACCAGGGAGTCTCCGAGGCTGAACTGAAGCAGCAGTGCTGCGGGAACTTGGAGCAAGGACCAGCCGGCTGCTTTGCACAAAACTAAGAAATGCGTAGTTTACAGTTCACAGGACGCCAAATCTGGCAGGGCCTTGCCCAAGGACTGCAGTTTGGATAGGGAACACCTGCCCAGGTGGCAGTGAAAAGGACACAAGGGGAGCATTTGGGATGACACCAGAAGCTGTCACACGCAAAGCGTCAGTCAGGCAAAGGGCCAAAATGTCTTTTGCCGGGAGCTTGAGATCCAAGAGGAGGAATCCAGTCCTGAACACTTTCAGACCAAGCGTAGCAATTTAAAATGTGTTTCTTCAGTGTTAGCTGGTTTGTAAATCACAGACAGCATTAACACACCCCACCCCAAACTGAATCACAGGACCACAATACAGAAGAGGTAGTTTTTAATCAACTCGTTAGGAAATGAATGTCAAAGTTTGTTAAAAATTACATAAATAAGTTATGATTTATCCATCAAAAGGTACAGACATTGCCAGGCAGTAGCTATCAGAGCTGTGTTACACCTTGGTCAGACCTGAGGTGAAATGGCAGTTTGGCTGGCTCCACCCTTCACAGCAGAACAAGAGGAAGCCCCAACCGAGCCATCTTGCTGGTGTGTAACTGGGTGCACAGCACATAAATGATGGGAGAGTTTGGCCTTTACATGCTCCAGAAGCTTTCCTTGTTCTCCTGCAGCTGACAGAGCAGGTGGGCATGTCCACCTCCAGCCAAAACAAACCAACTCCACAAATGCTTTGACAATGCATCTTGGTCACAATCCAGTTTTGCCACCTCAAACAAACACAGACTCAGTGTAAACCATTCATTCCAAGACAAACCAGTTAGGGGGATTTCACAGATCAGCGGCCTCTGCATACAGCCGGTCTCAGAACAGTGCTAGCTACAAATGCGGGTTTGCTCTGGATCCACCCTGATCAAGGCCTTTCGTCGATTTCAATCTCTCGTGCCGTCTTGATCCAGAACTTCCATTTGGCTGCTGAGGTAGTCAGTCAACCACTAGGACGTGATTTAACACAAGGCAGGAAAAGTCCAGACAGTTCAGAGCTGCCAGTCTCACTGGTTTAGCTGCGGCTCAGAATTCGCAGCATGTAGACAAGTTGATAATGCAAAACTAGTGTCTAGTTACACAGATGGAGGAAACCTGCCGCCACGGCAGCTAGCGGGGCTATGTCTACACTACAAGGTTTTTGTGCAAAAACCAGTGGAGCGTCCACACTTCAAGCACGTTTTTGCACCAAAAAACCCCCACAGTAAATCAACAGGACAGAGGGCTTTTGCCAGTAGAGTTATTCCTCTTCCCACGAGGAACAACTCCTTTTTGCGCTACAGCTCTTGTGCAAAAAGGCATGTGTGGATGCGCCGCAGGGGTTTCTTGCGCACAAAGCACAGGTGCTCCGATGGACATTCTATTAATAGCAATCCGAGCTTTCTTGCGCAAGAGCATCCATGCAGTGTGGATGCGCTTTTGCAATGTGCTTTTGAGGTGCGGATACACTTTTGTGCAAGATATCGTCCGCAAAAAGCTTCTTGCTCAAAAACCCTGCAGTGTAGACAAGGCCTGGGAGTTTTACCAGAAACATCAGTGGGGCCTGAATTTCGCTAATGGTGGAAAAGGAGAATTAAGTCTGAGAGAGCCCAGTAGCAGGGCAGAGTTGGGCTTCCCAAGGAATGCTTGTGTGAGCACAGGGCTTGTGTGGTAAGACCGTGCTCCGTTTTACTGACGGGCTGCAAAGAGAATGGGTTACAATGCTCTGCAATCTCACAGGGAATCCCCAACAATGCTGGTCTTGCTGTATCAACTTCCTTTGGGGTGGGGTGGCTCTAGAGGCCCCCTCCCCACACCAAGAGGCCCCAAGCTCTGCTTAAAATGGGCTTCAGGAACCGTGGGTCACTTGTGAGGTTTTACTTCGAGAAAGAAGCAGATAAGCAACTCCCAGATGAAAGGCAGTAACTCGGGGAATCTGGGCTCTCCCTCGCCCTGCCTGTTCACTGCAAGGAATCTGGCATCATGGTCACACAAGCCTCTGCCGGTTGCGTGAAAGCAATTCGCATGGGGATTCTAGGTAAAGTTTCCCCCTCATGGGCTCCCAGCTCCATGGGCAAGTGCACCATCCTCTTCGGGGCTGCTGAATGACTTCAAGGAGTGTCAGCAGCATCGCAGGAGAGACACTTCTGCAGCTGCAAGACGGGTGCTGGTCTTGCTAAAAGATCTCTGCTTCCCACTAAACACTTCCAAGGAACAGGCTTGTCCTGAACCCCACAGAACAGGTTAGATCCAAGAAGCGTGTCACTTCTCTGCAGGGAATTCGGTGTAAGGTGTTATTACGTTAGTAGGGGGTAGCTGCACGGAAGAGTCGCAAATCCCAAACATCTAGAAGAGTCTCCCATTCCAGCTTTTCCTGTCCTGTAATCTCCCTCCAGCTCCAGAGCCCGCCCCCAGGAAAATGTCAATGCAGCCCCCTCGCTGGCTGCAGGGCCTGGGTAAATTGACCATCCTCCTCACGAAGGAGAGGACCATGATGCCTCTGCAACACCAGGAAGCTAGAGCAGGGCAGGAAACGAGGCCTGGTCCCCACTGGAAAGGGCTGCAGGAAGAGCCGTGTAGAGAGGCAGTTTACTGCAACACAAGGGGGCTTTGGCTTGTATGGCTTAAGCTAGGTCCCTGAATCTAACAAGCGTTATCCACAAAAGCTTTATTGTGCCAGCGTAACCAACTACACTGGGACTTGCCAGCAAAGTCCGTCACCCCTTAACTAGCATCCTGGTGAAGTTTCTGGGGCAGACATGGCCTGAGCCCAGGTTTCCTGGATGGCACTGCACAAAACCACCTCTGGGCTGGCCCAACAGCATCTGCCTGCCCCCCCAATGCCCCAGAGGATGAGCTACTGCACTAGAGACTGAGAGAGAATGTCTGTCTCCTTCACTCTATGCTTGTCACTCACCCTCCCCTGGGATCAGCAGCACCGCAGTAGGGGCTGGATGCAAAGAGTGCAAGAACTCTGACTGCCTGAGCAAATACCCCTGGCCAGCCCCCACTGCTCTGTGCACACACCAGTCAGCCCCGTCTCTGGAGTTCCTGTCTGCCTCCTTGTGATCATTTCACAGTTGAACTGTAAACACTTTCCATTCCTAACCAGCACTGCCCTTGCTCAGCCTGCACAGCGGAGGTGCGACCAGCGAGAGCCGAAGGGCTCAGGTCCAGCTAGATCATTTTGATCTCTGGCGAGCGACTCTGAGTCAGGCTCTGGCGCTGGGATTTGACCATCTGGAGGTGCCGTCCATGCAGGCTGAACTGAGACCAGCTGAGTAGCTGCAGCAGTGCACACGTGATGGGGACGAAGACGAGCAGGTAAAAGCAGCCCTGGCGCAGCGTTGGTTCCCAGGCCGTGTCGGACTCCAGCTTTGGCTGGGCACTCACCATGTTGCTCAGAGGAGCCCGCTGGAAAATGTCATAACCTGAGGCCAAAACAGTTTGTGAGGCTGGCTACGCACTGCAAACATTCCAGGTGCCCCAAGCCACCACTGTCACATGCGGCTCTCCACAACTCCCGTGGGGGTCTGTGCCTGCTGCTTCACAGCCACCCAACACAAGGCCCCGCTGCCCACCGTGTCCGGGGGAGAAGAATGCAGAGGCGGAGGGAGGGGTGCAGATCTTAGGAAGGCATTCCACACTTGGGTGGAGAGATGGGTTAGCACCAGCTCTCTCTCACGCCTGCAGTGAAATCGGATGTTTTTCAACACGAGAGGTGGGCAGTGGTTTCAAGCTAACCCTGGGCGGAGGTGCAGCATGCAGCCCCGCACTGGGATGTGGGTCCAGTACGAACGTCGCTAGTGAATCACTACTGCCCCGTCCCACCCAGGCTGGTGGCTCAGCCAGGCCTGCCCCATACACACGCTAAACTCTGACACACTCCGCCCAACATGGCAGGGATGCAAACGTTTAGGGCGTGTCCACGTGCACAGGCCATTAAGTCGTAAAACCTCCTGCAAGCCACAAGAGCCAGCAGAGCTCTCCTCTCAGCCCCACCCTGCTGCGGCCCCAGAGACGTCCCACCTCACTTACCTGTATAAGCACAGAGCAGCCAGGTGCCAATCAAGGGGGCAAAGGTCTGACCTGGCTTGGTTACCAAGGCAACCATCCCAAACAACAGCGCTGATGCAGCCTGCTTCCTGCGGTTCAAGACAAAATCCTCGTCCACCAGGTCAGTGACCACCAGGGTCAGCAGCTTGCAGGTCCCCTCTGTGAACACCCGGTTACTGTGAAGCACAGCAGAGGGGGCATTAGCCAGCAGCACACGGAAACACAGGGAGTCCGTCACTGCCCAGAGCAGTGGTCCCCAACGCGGTGCCCCTGGGCGCCCACCGGGGCATTTATGTGCGCCTGCCTAGTGACCAGAGCTGGCCCGAGCCATTCTTGCACCCCGGACCCCTGGTGCATATGCAGCCCCCGCCCCGTGGCGTATGCGCAGCACCGCCCCCCGGCAGCCCCAAGGTTTGGGACCATTGGCCCAGAGGGTTGATACAGAACAACATGGCTTTGCCTCTCCCTGCCACCTGGCAGTAACAGCAATACCCCTCTGACGTGGGCACTAGCTCCATTTTACAAGGGGGGACAGAGGTGCACAGTAAGGGAAAGTGACCTGCCCGAGGTCACATCACGGAGAGCTGGAAACTGAGCTCCCACCAACCCAGAACCTTCATCGGCCTCATCCTGAGCACAGGAGCAGGCCACATGGCAATGCCCACGAGTTCAGAGCTCGCCCACCAGGTGACAAGTGCCCTTGCGCGGGGACAATCCACACGTCAGCGTCTGCAGACACGGGCTGAGTTTTGTGGGCAGTGTGCTATTGCCCCACTTGTTCTTCCACATGCTTTGTCTGAAGCATGGCATAACCCTGGATTGCTCAGGGAGTTCTTCATTGGAAGGGGCAACACAACTGATGACTGGAGCACTTGGTCAAGAGCCAGGATTCCTGGGTTCTACTCTCAGCTCTGACCGTGACTGGCTTCAGGACTCTGGCTTCACCTGGATGCCTGAGATTCACCAGCTGAGAGTCACCTTCGGCCCTTGCTGGGGTGGGCGAACCCCCTGGGCTGCTTCCTCCAGCTCCCCCATAGGCACGGAGGTCAATGAAACCCTAGAAAAGCGCCGTACCTGGCTATGAAGATGCAGAGCAGATGCACCTGGTCGGGTCCAGCGAGGAGCATGAGGGTGCTGAGAGCCAGCTTCAGGAAGAAGAGCCCTCGTACCACTGCGTAAACCCCACATCTTTGACAGAGCGACAGAAAATAGAGGTTGTTGAGATGAGGGGCGATGTAGGAGACACCTGGGCGGAGAGGCACAAAGAGTATAAGGGTGTTTCAGCGTGTGGCAGTACATAAGAAGCCCCAAAACATCGACACCGAGTAAATTTGGTGCCTCAGCCCTTACATGGCACTTTCCAAGCACATGAGAACGACCAGACTGGGTCAGACCAACGGTCCATCCAGCCCAGTGTCCTGTCTGCCCACAGCGGCCAATGCCAGGTGCCCCAGACGAAGAGAACAGAACAGGGAATCTTCAAGCAATCCCTCTCCTGTCGCCCATTCCCAGCCTCTGACAAGGGCTAGTGTCACCATACCTACCCAGCCTGGCTACTAGCCATCAATAGACCTAACCTCCAGGAATTTATCTAGGTCTTTCTTGATCCCTGTTAAAGTCCTGGTCTTCACAACCTCCTGTCGACCATGTGCTGTGTGAAGAAAAAACTTCCTTTTGTTTGTTTTAAACCTGCTACCTATGAATTTCATTGGGTGACCCCTAGTTCCTATGTTGTGAGAATAAGCAAATAACTTCTCCTTATTCACATTTTCCCACACCAGTCATGATTTTATAGACCTCTATCATATCCCCTCTTAAGTCTCCTCTTTTCTAAGCGGAAAAGGCTCAATCTTTTTAATCTCTCTTCATATGGGACCCATTCCAAACCCCTAATCATTTTTGTTGCCCTTTTCTAAACCTTTTCCAATGCCAATATATCTTTTTTGAGATGAGGAGACTATATCTGTACGCAGTATTCAAGATGCAGGCATACCATGGTTTTATACAGAGGCAATAAGATGTTCTCTGGCTTACTCTCTCTGATTCCTAACATTCTATTTGCCTTTTTGACTGCCACTGCACACTGAGTGGATATTTTCAGAGAACTATCCACAATGACTTCAAAATCTCTCTCGAGCAGTTGTAGCTAAATTAGTCCCCATCATATTGTATGTATAGTTGGGATTATTTTTTCCTCAATGCCCATTACTTCACATTTACCAACATTAAATTTTATTTGCCATTTTGTTGCCCAATCAGTTTGGTGAGATCTTTTTGAAGCTCTTCACAGTCTGCTTTGGTCTTAACTATTGTAAGCAGTTTAGTACCATCTGCAAATTTTGCCACTCACTGTTTACCCCTTTCTCCAGATCATTTATAAATAAGTTGAATAGGATTGGTCCCAGGACAGATCCTTGGAGGACACCACTAGTTACCTCTCTCCATTCTGAAAACTGACCACTTATTCCTACCCTTTGTTTTCTGTTTTTTAAACAGTTACCAATACATGAGAGGACCTTCCCTCTTATCCCATGACAACTTACTTCACTTGAGAGCCTTTGGTGAAAGACCTTGTCAAAATCTTTCTGGAAATCTAAGTGAGATGTGCACTGGCTCCCCCTTGTCCACATGTTCGCTGGCCCCCTCAAAGAGCTCTAGTAGATTAGTAAGGCGTGATTTCCCTTTACAGAAACCATGTTGACTCTTCTCCAACAAATTACGTTCATCTATGTGTCTGCACGGCACAAAGGTCTTCCCAGTTCTCCTGTGATGCAGACAAGTGTGCTCCCCATTTCACAGTGGGGGGCACAGGGAGCTAACTGATGTGTCCACTGTCACACAGCCAGTGAGCATTAGAATCAGGACTGAACCTGTGAACTCCCAATTCTGGACTTACTCATCCCAGTTCTACACAGAGAGTTCTGCTTGACTTGGAGGAAAACAGATGACGTGGCAGTTCTGATGTGTCTCGGCCCTGAGCAGGGCTCCCTCGAATTTCTCCCACCCCAAGCAGAATGCATTTTGTTACATGAACCAATGTGGAGGTGATGTCACACATCACCTCCATCTTTGTTTCAGAGGGAGCTGTGTTAGTCTGTTTCAGCAAAAACAAGGAGTCCGGCAGCAACTACGTAATAAAAATCATGTGGTGGGGATGAGGCCAATGGGTTCGGAGTGTGGGAGGGGGCTCAGGTTTGGGATGCAGGAGTGAGGGGGCTCTGAGGTGGGGCTAGAGAGAAAAGGCCCAGGGCTGAAGGGCTAACATGCAGGGGCGCTGTCTGGGGGTGCAGGCTTTGGGGTGGAGCTCGGCCAAAGGGTGAGGAAGGGCTTGGGGCAAGGCCATAGCAGGGGGCTCCAGGGTCAGAGGGAAGGCACGTAGTCCAGGCTGCTGCTTCGCAGGCCGGAGGCTAGGTTGGGAGTGGGGCAGGCCTCCTCCCTTCCTTTCACCTGTGCCTTGAGGCCTGCCTGGTGCCAGTGAGGAAGCTGCGTGACTGACAGCTTACAGGGAACTTAGCCCCAAGTCAGAGACAACCCTTGTTCCAGGGCTGAGCCTCTGCAGAACATTGCACCGCCAATCGGGCAGATGTGTGGGGCCGCTTGGAATAAGACAGAGACTATCTTATCGCCTCTATATAAACCATGGTACGCCCACATCTTGAATACGGTGTACACATATGGTTGCCTCATCTCAAAAAATGATATATTGGCCTTGGAAAAGGCTCAGAAAAGGGCAACAAAATGATTAGGGAACGAGTCCCATATGTAGAGAGATTAAAAAGACTTGGACTTTACAGCTTAAAAAAGAGGAGACTGGGGGGATATGAAAGAGGTCTATAAAAACATGACTGGTGTGGAAAAAGTGAATATGGAAAAGTTATTCACTTATTCCCACAATATAAAAACTAGGGGTCACCCAATGAAATTAATAGGCAGCAGGTTTAAAACAAACAAAAGGAAGTCAACCTGTGGAACTCCTTGCCAGAGGATGTGGTAAAGACTAGGACTTTAACAGGGTTCAAAAAAGAACTAGATAGATTCATGGAGGGTAGGTCCATCAACGGCTATTAGCCAGGATGGGTAGGAATGGTGTCCCTAGCCTTTGTCTGGACATGAATGACGGGGGAGGGATCACGTGAGGATTACCTTTGTTCCCCCTCCCTTTGGGGCATCTGGTACTGGCCACTGTCAGAAGACAGAACACTGGGCTAGATGGACCTTTGGTCTGACCCAGTCTGGCTGTTCTTATGTTCCCATGGTAACAAAGGGAACGTGACTGAGCTCATGGGCTCGGCCTCCAGGTCCAGGTTTTGCAGAGCTGGGGGTCTCTCACCACCTTCCGGCCGTGAAGCCCAATTCAGCAATGATCCCTCAGGGGCTAGGTGGGGCCGGTCATACCTCTGTAGCCCCGCGAAGGAGCGCACCTCCGCTACCCTCCACCAAGGCTCCGTGCTTTCAGGGTATGTGAAGAAAGAACCAGTGCGGAGCCAGGCACCCACCCAGCAGCTCTGGGGCACTGCTTTTCCCAGGTCCGGGGCAGGCTCACCTAGTAGGAAGGACCCTGTAGAGAGAGAAATCCGATCTGCCAGCAAGTGCTCCAGGAAGAGAGGGAAGAAGTTGCTGTTAAAGTGGCAGTGAAACACCTGTGACAAAAGAGAAGGAGGATTAATGGGCCAGCAGTACACAGAGTGAGAGGAAGGCCAAGCTACTAGCAGCCAGGCTCCACTCCCTAGGAGTCTGGTGCCAGAGTAACATGCGGTTCCTCCAGGCAGGAGCTGCACAGCTGAGAAGCGGGTGCTTTGTTTGGATGAGTGCTCTGATGCCACCTGCACTCACCTCGGCAAGCCACGAGGGAAGCCTGGCGCCCCACAAGGCAGATGTCCACCATGAAGGGACTACTGCCAGGCTGGGCCAACACCTTGTCTGTGCGCTACCACAAACACTGCGAGGCACCAGAGGCTGCGAGTGTGGCAGCAATGCAGTGGAGAGCGGCACCCCTGCGGGCACCTCGCTGAGCAGCCCAGGACTAGCTGTGCCTAGAGCCCAGCAGCTGGGACAGGAACCTCAGGAATGGGGGAGGGAGGAGGTGTCTCAGGGCTCCCCAGGAGGGCTGGGAAAGGACGCATTTCCAAGCTGTCCCAGAGGCACTCCATGCCAGGAACTAGGGGTTTCCTAGACATGGCTTTTGCACAATTCTCCCCACAGCTATGAGGCTTTAAAAGGCAACATCCTGGTTAAACTGCGTGTGGTCTCTGAAGGGCCGAGAGCTTCCACTCCTCAGTGAAGCAGGAACTGAGTCTACACTTTATCCCCTTCAGAAACAGAAGAGTCAGATGCCCAGAGCGCCGCCCCTCCCACCCCCATGGCTGATGGAGCCACACGAGCATGTGCAGGAAGCACAAAGAGGAGTCGTGGCATTATGCAGACAACACTGCTTTCCTCATGGGGAATCTACATCCTGTTGAGTCATAGTCAGCCTGGCTTGGCTAGCGGCTCATCTGACTCACTGGGTTAGCTCAGTGCTACACCTACCTGCACTAGGTTCATACACACGAACCAGAGGAAGTTGCGGTGCCGGGACAGCTGTTTGAGGTATTCTCCCAGCGTTATTCTTTTCTCCAGAGGGGCAGATGGTTGCTCAATGTACAATCTACAGGGACAAGGAAGCCACTGTAATTGTTTCTGCACATGTGAGAATTTCTGTTATTCTGCACTTTGCTAGTGAGTGCATGCACGGATGCCCTGCTGGCTACTTACCTCATCCTACAGGTTGAAATTCCCAATTCCAAGACTCTGGTCCGACAACATCTGTAGTCCAGCAGGGCCATAGATGTTGCTGGACCGAAAAGCCCCGGAGGTGAGAGCAACACGGGGTCTAGGAAGCCCTGGCTAGGATAAGTGGCATCTAGGGAGCTTCCCCCACCCTGGCCAGGGAACCTCTGGTGTTAGTGGAGCAAGGTGGCTGGGGAGCCCCATCCCTGGCTAGGGAACCCGTGGCGTTAGTGGGGCCAGACAGCTGCTGGGATCTCCTATCCCAGCCAGGGAACTCCTATCCCAGCTCCTATCCCAGCATCAGCTGGGCCACATGACCAGGGAGTCCTAGCCCTAGCCAGGGAATCCCCAAGTGCACTGGGGTGCCTGGCCAGGAACCCCCCAGCTGGAGCAGGGCTGGTGAAGGTGGGTGACTAGAATCCCCAGAACCCAGGAGACCATGGGGCAGCACGGTGGGGAGCCCATGCCGAAGCCTAGGAGTGGTGCAGCCAGCAGGGGAGTACTGACCTCCCCCATCTGGCAAACTCCCTGGTTCAAACAGTTCAGGTGCCAAGGGTGCCAGACCAGGGAGGTCCAACCTGTACCAGTTCCTACTATTCATGTTCTCCGTTCATAGAGCGAGTCAGAAGCTGGTATGACATTTGCTCCTTGCTGGAAGCAACCACTAGAATCAGAGTCATCAAAAACTTGGAATATTTGTCTAGTGAGTCAGTGACTCATCTCCTGTAAGAGCATCCCTCCCCCAGGCAGCTGTTACAGTCCAATACAGATTCCTAGTCCTCTCCCGCCAATCTTTATTGCTAGTTTTATCGTGGGAATACCTGCAGGATGTACAAACAGACAGTTCCTGCACAAACAGAGACAGTTCCTGCCCCAAAGAGCACTTACAACCCAAGTTTCAGAGAGGAGACCAGTGGATACAGCAGAGGGGACACGATGAAGGCACAGAGTTATAAACACTGGAACAAGCTGCACGCACAGAGGCCAGCTGCTGAGCCAACATCAGGCAGTAAGACAACGATACATATACTTGCCCTCCTTTTATCAGGATGATGGAAAAAGTAAATTTCTAGGACAGTGCTGCACTGGGATTTTAACAGGCACAGGCCTTTCACTTAGTGTACACTCAGCTACAGGTAAGGTCTTGTCCATCTGCCACCAAGAACAGGACTACTGTCAGCAACGCATTCGCTAGTGCTATGCCTCAGTCTAGTTTCAAATGTCCCATGAGACAGGGATTGTGCAACCCTTTCCTTAGAAGCCTATTCTCAGGCTTGGGGTGCCTCTACAGTGCAGGGCTTCACTTGAAATAAGCAACGTGAATTGAGCTACGTCAATTGCATAGCTTATTTCAAAATAGCTTATTTCGAAATTCAGAGCGTCTACAGAGCACTGATTTTGAAACAGAGTACTCTTCCTCTAACTTTGCTTACTCCTCATACAATGAGGGTTATAGAAATCAGAGTAAGAAGTCCTCCAGCTTGACAGTATTTTGAAATAACTGCCTGCTGTGTAGATGCGGACTAAGTTATTTCAAAATAATGTTGCTGTGTAGATGTACCCTTAGAGAGCTCAGCACAAGAGTACTTCTCTCAGGCATCAGCCTCAATCTTCCTGCTCTTAAATTCATCCCACAATTCTTAATCATAGCTCCACGCACACTTACAGTAATTCCACTTTCCTTCACTTGTAATTACACTTATATACTTGCAGAGAAACATGAAATCCCTCCACTAGTCCTCAGCTAGACAGAGAGACCATTTTTAGCGAGCCAGTCACAAAGTGGCATGCAGAACTACACAGGCAATTCCAGAAGCTCTGTGGCAGTTGTAAGCAGGATAGTCCCGAAACATACACTCAGGTAACTGCACTCAGATTCAATGTGCTTCCTGGCATGTGCAACTGCACCCCCTGCCTTTAAGGGACTCATTACTGCAGGCCAGTTTTCTGGGTCTTTTCCTCAGGACCCAGTCCCCCTATCTCCTAGGTTTGGTTTATTTATTTTAAGCTACTCTGAATTTTGTAGGGAGGAAGCTCGAGCTATTAGGCACTTCTAAAAATTGTACCTAAGTGACTTGAGCTTCTTAAATTCCCAGTTTCAGAAGTGACATAGGAGACTAAGGGTCTCTCTCTACACTTGGAGCTGGGGCTGCAATTCCCGGTGATTGAGCTAGCATGCTAAAACATAGCACAGCCACTGCAGCAGCAGGAACAAACCATCCCTCGTACAAACCCATGCAAGACCCAGACCCCCAACATCAGAGAAGTATTTGTCTAATGCTATGTAGTTTGGTGCCACTTACTCTTTTAAAGTTGACTCTTGGTCCCATTTCACTTTCTCTTCAGTCTCAAATCGTTGTCGTAGCAGCCATGTTGCCAGAGTAAATCCAGCAACAGAGCAAAGAGCCAGCACCACACAAAATATCCGGAAAGAAAAGAAGTCTTCTTTGTTCCACACTGCATAGGACATGAAGACAGAGAGGGAACCGATGGCACTAAAAAGCGAGCAGTAGAAATTTAGGCTAGTCCTGTCTTTTGCAGAAACAGCCAGGTCTGCAAGCAAGGCATTATGGTTGAGATCCACCATGGTAAGAAAGCTGTCATAGAGGCAGAGGCAGAGGAGGAACTGTAGACCTGGATGGGCCCAGGAAACCCAGAAAGCCAGGAAAGAGAAGGCAAAAAGAGGCCCATTTCGGCTCAGTGCCTTAAGTCTCTTAAGAATGACGTCTGGTGAGGAGATCTTCACCCCTGACCTACAAGAGAAGAGAGAAACTTTAGTCGCAATCCGTCGGAAACGTCCCTGCCACACGCTCTGTTTTCTTACAGGAAAGGCTCAGAGAACGCTGGTTGAACACTGCATTTGTCGGGGTAGTAAGTGTCCTTGTTTGGTTCCTGTCTTGCTCTGCTGCAGTGAGGAGAGAACAGGCCCCAACACCAGCCAAGTGAGCGCGCACACAGCCAACAGAGCCCTTCTTGGAGGAAGCACTGTCTGCTTTACCATTCCATGGTAACATTGCGGCAACACAGATTGTTCAATCCATTATAACAGCATGGCTCTGTCTCCCTCTAGTGGAGGGACCATGTATTGAGGTTGTATGTCTGCTAGTGATGTCAAGTTTAAGAGGATTTAACTCAAGCAGACAAGGCTCATGCTTTTAGATCCAGAGGCTCAGTCCCGCAAGGTGACTTGACTGGGGGCATAGTGTAAATACCCTACAGACACTGAAACGAGGGACAAGAAGCCCCCAGCCCTGACATCACCACAACAGCAACATTCAACTTTTCAGGATACCTGGAACTGGGGAGTGCGAGGTTTTCAGACCTAGGTAATGATTCCCCTTCTAATAATCAGTCCTTTCACGTCATCTTTTCCAGACTACTGTGAAGATACTAACTTTTCAACCTTTAAGGAAGGATATTAATGACATGAACTTACTGCTGTGTGCTAAGAAATACCCGGTCACTCAACCAGCCGAAGAGAGGGTCATTGAGACTGTTCCAAATTAGAAACACTGTCTAGAAAGAGACACAATAATGAGACAAGCCACAACCAATCACTTCACCAGTCGAGTCTCGTTAATGGCGTCAGCATCCTGATGGTGCCCATTACAATTCCCTGGGACAATAACCAATTCGTACTTGATGGTGATATGTCCAATCTAACATGTAAGCCTTGTCACTATACGGCAACGCCCCATTCTGTGCCAGTAATGTGCACTTCCAGGCTGAGAGTCAGATTGTTTAGTGGCTTTACTTTTTATCCAACATATCTACTGGCATTTTTCATACATGATTCATATTTGGACTCATGCAACAGGGTAATGCACAGAGGCCAACATTTTCAGATCTGGGTGCCCAATGTCAGATACTCAAATCTGTATTCAGGTAAGTCTGATTTTTCAGACTCATTCAATGTTGTGCTTTGTTGCTGCTGAGTAGTTTGAAACATGCTGGGATTCTCCAAGAGGAAGGGCACTCTTAAAAATATAAGTTGCTGGTATTTATACCCAAACTCACTATCTTTGTATGTTGGTACAAGTGACAAGAATTAAGTCACCTGCATCACTAGCACCTCTATTGCTTCCTGACAAAAAAGAAATTAAGCTACCAAAATGTTCTCCCATATTCTAACACGATACTTTGATTTCACATCCTACTACAGCATATCTTGAGAATGGCAAGAAAAAATAAATCTCAGAAACTTACCTCTCCAATCCAAAAGGACAGTTTATCGATTTTGTAAACAGAAACAAAGGTGTCCACGTAATATAGGAGAAATACATTATGCAAAATGGAAACAAAGAGTGACAAGGATCCATAGATGACAGCAGTAGGTAAATTAAAGAGATAACCCAACAGTCGCAAGCCCATTTTGGTTCAAGAAAAAATAAATCTCAGAAACTTACCTCTCCAATCCAAAAGGACAGTTTATCGATTTTGTAAACAGAAACAAAGGTGTCCACGTAATATAGGAGAAATACATTATGCAAAATGGAAACAAAGAGTGACAAGGATCCATAGATGACAGCAGTAGGTAAATTAAAGAGATAACCCAACAGTCGCAAGCCCATTTTGGTTCAGAGTGCTTCAGCATTCCAGATCATCTCCTTTTCACATGGACACCTCCACACAACTCTTCACTGAGGGCCCCTCCATT